TTACTATAAAAACATATATGTATATACTCATATACATATACACTAATTGGAGAAATTCAAATAATAACTATATATTTGTTATTGGGAATGATTAATGTTTTGCTATAATAGTGCTTATGCTTTTGTTCTTGCTATAATAGTGCTTATTATAATAGTGCTTATAATAGTTCTTACGTTACTATAACAGTGCTTATGCTTTTAGGAGTTACATACTGAAATATTTGAAAAACATGTATATGTTATCTAGTATTTGTTTCAAAATAATCTGAAGAACACAAGGAATGTGTGGGGAAAGGATGGGGACAAAAGGAACTTCAACTTTATCTATGTTTCGATTTTTCCATTAAAAGAAAAAAAACAAGGCTGGACTTGTGGCTCAGTGGTAGCTCACTTGTCTAGTGTATGTGAGGCACTAGGTTCAATCCTCAGCACTACATATAAATAATGAATAAAATACATGTCCATAAACATCTAAAAAATATTTAAAGGAAAAAAACATGATAAAACATTAATAGTAAGTCTGGATTTTGGTCAGTGCATTCTTAAAATTTATCACTACATTGTTCAAGTTAAAAGTTACTTTATTTGAACTAATGCATGTCCAGGTCTTCAGAGTAAGGAGTGATGGAAACAGGAAGTTCATATCTTTTTTAAAAAATATATATTTATTCTTTTTAGTTGTAGTTGGACATAATACCTTTATTTATTTATTATTATGTGATGCTGAGGATCGAAGCCAGGGCCTCACATATGCTAGGCAAGCGGTCTACCGCTGAGTTACAACCCCAGTCCCAGTTCATATCTTAATACAAGTCAGTGGAGGCCTGAGTTAATCTTGGGTGCAAAAGATGTTCATTCACCGAGGTACAGCCCTCACCCCACTAAAAGCTAGTCCAGCTAAGACCACTGACAGCATCTGATCCTGTATGGAGGCAGCAAGCTTTCCTTTAACCTGGCTTCATAGTTCTAAAACCCATTTAACCCTTCCTGCCAGGTTCTCAAATATTGCATACAAAGCACCAATGACCCCTGAGAAAAGACAACCTTTATTTTTACAACTGTTCCATACACACACTCAGCTACTCATAAGCTCCTTCTAGTCATCCTATTTCTTTCCTAGCTCCTATAAGAAAACTGTGGTAAATTCCTTTTAACCACCATCCACTGATGGAATAGCAGTATAGTTGCTTTAATGACCCTTGTTTTGCAGCCACTGGCACAGAACCTGATAGCCACCTTCTAGGACATATGACATGTGGTCAACATACCAATCCCAATCACCACTGTTGGAGACAGTTGTATATAACTACTAAATCATCTCTGTATTGTACAATGAGCTCCTTAGAAAGGAATGGTGAGATGTGGAGATTAAGAATTATTGTAAGTCAGCTAAATTCATTTCTGGACAAGAGCAAACTGATTCAGCTTAAATTAGATTCAATGGCTGTAGGAATTTGGTTATGTCCCCAAGTACTTCCTCATACCTAGAGGAGGCCTCATACAGTAGAGGCACTGATTATCTGAGGGGGATGTGTGCATGGAAGTGTGGAAAAGGTAAGGGGAGGTTGTAAAGGGATGCTTAGAACCTTGGACTAAATTTCTGTGTCCCATGAAATCAATAAGTATATATTAAGACTATCTAGGCTTGCTTTCCCTCAAACTGGGGCTTGTGGCATGGGAGGTCTATCACAGACACCTCAAGGCCACCCTGAAGGAGATGGCACACAAAAGTAAGGAGAGGGAGATATAGGCATTATCTACTGGGGGCATCAGGGCTTTCCCCAAAGTTCACACAAATGGGGGCTGCTGTGAAAGCAGTGTTATAAGTAGCAATCCCATTCCAAGGGCAAGACCCTATTCTCAACCTTATCCTGGTCCCCTCACAGAGACCTACAATGGAAAAGTTGCAGAAGTGCTGTTTTATATTGTATGTGTAAGAGCTGAAAATAGAAAATACCTGTAACTATGCTGATTAATCTCAGGAGCCCAAGTGCCTACCACTACAGAATAGAACAAAGAATGCGTGGATGGATGGATGGACAGGCAGATGGGCTGGATGCCCAACCCACAACTACATCCTCCTTTGTGCCACTGAAAACTCAGTCTTGAATCCTAGTCCACTGCCCTAGGTTAAGACTGCAGAAAACTTAAAACATAGCTCATAAAGTTATAAAGTCTAAGCTGTAGAGGTCATAAAGGACCATTATTCTAAACTCTTTTCATGTGTGTGCATGTGTGTAACTAGGCCTTGAATTCAGGACCTAGAGCATGCTCTATAAGCATTCTACTACTGAGCTATACTCCCAACCCACCTCACCACTTCTTCATTTTTGGAGATAGGATTTGGCTAAGTTGCCCAGACTGACCTCAAATTTGTAATCCTCTTGCCTTAACCTCCTGAATAGCTGGTATTATAAGTGTGTGCTACTATAGTTGGCTTCAAATCTTCATTTTATGGCACATAAACCTGAAGCTTACAGAGGACTATTTGCCTACAGGTTAGAGGCAGTCTGGAACCCAGCTGTTTCAACTTTCATTATCTTGTCTCTTTATATCTGGAAGTTATTCTTTAAATAACAATTCTTCCTCCCATCCCATCCCCTATATCTTTAATTAGGCCATTCAACCAACTTTGTGGTGACTATCCTTTTACCCTCCAATCGGTCCAAAGACTACTGGATTGCTAAGGGATCAGCTTTGCTCTGCCAACTGAATGAGTGAACAAATACCACATTAGTCCAGAGGTCTTCCCTGATGGAGGGGAAAGTTTGACCAATTTACATTGGAGCAAAATGATGTTACTTCTGATTTGACTTAAGGTAGTAAGTAAGTATGGCTGTTTCTCTTATGACTTAAAATAAAGTGTTCTGAGTTCTTTCTGTTAGTAATCCGGGCTTTGATGTGAAGATGGTGGGTTCTGCACCCACTTATTAAACCTGTTCCTTCATCCATGTGAGAGTCAGGCCTCTTCCCATCAGTAACCTGAGGGACCCACTGGAAGAGTCAGGACTTATCCCCTCACCTACACTGGCTCCCTTCCTCATCCCACTCATATGAAAGGTCAATGTATACTTTAGTCACATAGCCCTGGGTGCTTCTGTTTCTAGACTAATTAAGGCTCTCAGAACCCAGCACCTGGGGAGGGAATACAGTTGTTGCAACAACTGGTAAAGAAAATGAGCAGGAAGATAAGATCTTGGCCATGGTGCCAGTTACCACATTCTATGAGGTTATATTACAAACCTTGGTAGGGCCTTCATTTTCATAAAAGTGCAGGTTGCTCCTGCCCAAGTACAGAGGAATTTTCCTCCTTTATTTTAATATAAACCTGGGTGAAAACTAACCAAGTCCCCACCAGGTATGTTTGAGCCCATCACCTCAAAAGCAGAGGCCCAGTGAATAAGTGGAGGAGCCCATTTTGAGAAACATTTTATGCCATCCCTTCCAACAAGGACTATTGCTTCCTTGGCCATAACATAACCCAAGAAATTGGGGAAACCACATATATGAGCCTCTGGAAAAAGCCACACCACCCCCTTACAAAATGTGGGAGGAACAGGATCAACTACAGTGATCCTACTATCCCATTTTATCTCTGCCCCCTACCTTTATCTCGACTTCTGACAAAAGAAACTCAAGGACTTGAGTGGGACCAATAAGAAGTAGTTGTGTTAGCTCCAAATCTGGTTTAGGGTAAGTTTGATTGTCTGGGCTTGTAGCTTTGACTTCCTTTTCTATCCTGAGGTTTTCTTGTGAGCTCATTCTCAATCAACTTGACTCAAGTTGCAAAAAAGCAATGGAATACCATTTCTATCAGAGTTCAATGCACTACTCAATGCAAAGACTACTCTTGCGTATTTCAAGCAGAAATAGGAGCCAACAAAGGCACTTCTACAGCTACAGAAGTCAGAGGGTCAATATCAGGCACCATGGATGCTATAATCCAAAGTCAGAAAGTACAGGAAAGTATCAACCTCATAGGTGCTCCACACCCATGAAGTGACCAGAGTATGAAGCAGAGCCTGGCCACTGCACAAACTTATGTCTGATGGAGACTGCATGACTGCTGCCACCAATGAAGAAAAAGACACTCTGCCCACTCCTGCCTTCCAAACCTTACTCCTTGAGTCTCATTAGAATCTAAATCTAGCAGCAAGGAAATCTGGGAGTTTTTAGCCCTCCTACCTCCTATAGTACACAGGACACAAAATGAAACAAAGGATCCTAATTGCCATTGCACTACTTTTGTTAAGGCCACAAAAATGATTGAGAATGAGCTCACAAGAAAGCCTCAGGAAAGGAAGGGAAGACAAAGCCACAAGCCCAGGCAATCAAGCTTACTCTAAACCAGATTTAGAGCAAACACAACTACTTCTTATTGGTCCCACTCAAGTCTTAAGCAGACCTACTTGGAGTTTTGTTAGCTACTCAGAGGCCTAGGAGGACCAGAAGGGAACCTTGCCACAGGGAGGAGATCCTGGTCTGAAATTTGGGGATTAGAAGAAGACAGATGAGCTGGGTAATGTTCCTATGTCAGACACAATTAGGGCAGTTCTGCAATTACTTCTAGAGCTCCCCCATAAGATTTTATTTGTAAAAGGCATTGTCAGTAAACATGTAAATAATAAATAACAAGACAGGAGTGGGTAGTTTAAAAACCACTTCTTTCACAACACCCCTGAAAAGCCTGCCCATCCCCCCAGTCTCCAGCATGTCAGAAAGTCACACTAATATATGTAAAGAAGTACCTATAAGAGCACAAGGAGTACCCTACTCACCAGACCTTGAACCGAGACATACATGGCCTACTGACTGCCCTGCATCCAAAATCTGGGGCAAATTGGAAGGACAGCAGAAGGAGGGAGAGACAGGTCAAGATCTGCAGCTGAATAGTGCAAAGCCCAGGAAGAAAGCTATGATAGTTTTCAGAGGGTGTAAACGAAAGTTATTTGCCTCTTAGATTCACATCATAAAAAAGTCTACACAAAAACAGTATTTAGTTATTTCATACCATTCATTTACAATTTATTTTCATACAACTCATTATGTTACAAAACTGTACATCCCCTCCCAACACTGTTGGATAACCCAGGTCATTTGTTAGGAGGAGAAGAATCACCACTGGGCTTCTTCTTCAGATGTCTTCTCTCCTGGGTTGGGCTTATCAAGACCAGACCAAAGTGTGGAGTGCGGGAATGGCAATCCTTCAAGTAAGGTCTTGGCCTGGCTCCTCCAGTTGCTACAAGAGGGATGTCTCTGTTGGGAAAGCAACCACCAGTCCCAAGAACGCAGAAGTCCAGAGAGACAGTCAGGTGGTACTGGCCACCATCTGGCTGTGGTGGGAATGTCTGTGGTGAGGGAACCACAATTCAGCAGAGATATGCCTGTCCAGGACAGGGACCTGGAGTTGTGGGGCCATAGCACTAGGAATTCAAGAGCGGGGCACAGCAAAAGCCTACTATATACTCCAATTCCTCCAAACATCCCCTGGGTTTTTCATTTCCCCCCTTTAAAGGCAGGAATAGATATTAATATGTGGATAGGCTGCCTATATCTTTGGCCCTATTTTGTGACTTTGGCCACTACTCCCAGAAAACCAAATGACAGAGGACTTAGTCTTGCCAATTACCCCCACACTACATACACACCATTTGATTCTTGATTCAAGGATTATTTTAGGTAGGCTCCTCCTGGTCACGCTCCCCACTCATACACACAGTACACACACACCCACAGCACCTACACTTTCTTTGCAGATCATTTACTCAAAATCTAGCTTCATGGCATACTGTGAGCTCCTTGAAGGCAGAGATCAATGTCTATATGGTTCACCCCACAGACATAGCACCACTACAACAGCAGACTTAGGAGGAACTCAATGAGCTTGGGTTTATTTTAACTGGATTGTGGATCCCAGCCTTTCTATCAGCTTTATGTCCTGCAGAACCACACTTTTCTATCCAACTCTGATCCACCCATTAGCCCTCAGAGGGCACCTTGTTTAACCACTCTCAGAAAACAAGCCCATTCCTACAGAGTCGATTCTAGCTCTGCAAAACTACAAAATTCTCCCAGATCTGCTAGGAGAAAGGGCTGGAAAATTAAATTCTTCACAACCTTCATTCTACTTTAAAAAAGACCTACCTTTACCCTCACATTTGTTGTTGTTCTTTTTGTTTTTTAAGATGTTGATGGACCTTTATTTTATTTATTTATGTATATGTGGCGCTAAAAATTGAACCCAGTGCCTCGCACATACTAGGCAAGCACTCTACCACTGAGCCATAACCCCAGCCCCCACATTTGTTCTCTCACAAGCATAAACATGTGGCCCTTGCCCTGGCTTGAAGCAGCAACAGCAACCTTAGATCTGGATTCACATCACAGCACAGGACAGAAGAGAAATGACTGGGAAAGGCTGCTCCCTGATTGGGCAATTCCCAGCCCTCCCAGTTTAACAGTCACCTAGGTCTGCTCACCACCCATATTTCAGGGGAAGGAGAGATGCCAGCATGGCTCTGCCCATCTGTCTCACCTCTCTTCCAGGAAGACCCACAGGTTGTTGAACCACTGCTTCAGCATCAGGCACCTCCACTTCTTCCTGAACTTTTGTCCCGACTAGCCAAGTTGGTTGGCACTCCCAGGCAAGGGCTCATGGGGCAGCACGTCGCAGACAGGGCTTCCAGTGCCAGTGCTGCCAAGACTGGCACTTCCGAGGCAAAGATGTCCAATGGAGCCAGTGTGAGATGGGCTCTTACTCCTCTCTGTAAACTAGGGTGGAAGGGGAGGGCTGCATAGCATGGTCCTTCCTGCTCCTGTGGCTTAGGACCTCATGATCCTGCCAAGGACACCTGGTTCACAAAGCCACCATAAAATTGGTTATTTTGACACCTTTTTTTTCCCTCCACATATCCTCACCCTGTTCTCTTAAAATCTCCTGTCCTTTGGGAGAAAACCCAAAGATTTTTTTAACTGTATATAATTACTGCACTTTCCCAACCATGAATACGTGAGTACTATCTAGAAAGTCAATGAAGATTATAGCATTTAAAGATAAACTGTTTAAGTGCCATTTGCTCTAAAAAAAAAAAAGTGACCCTTAACCCTCTTGTATTCTTTTGAGAAGTTATATTAGAATAGAAATAGGTTCTTTGTCCCTTGGTGGCCACCCGATCCCCATGTGAAGTGCTGGCTCATAGGGCTGGCCTCTAACACTTCTCACCAGGTCTGCCTTTAAACCATCTCTCCCAAAGGTAACATATATTTTTACAACTTATGGGAAACTCAGACTTGCTTCTAGTTTTCCCCTTAAAGGTAATTACAGTCCCCAAACACCACTTTCAGTGAAAAAAATTAAGCCATCAGAAGGGCCAAGTTTCTTCCTACAGGAGGACTTTTATCAAGGATTTAGTTGGGGGATAAAGAGTGCCATAAGAGAAGAATTCTACTCATTATCTCCTGATATAGGCCATGAGGGATTTTATGCTCCCATCTATCTGCCTAAGAAGGGGAGCAGGGGGACTTTCCTTCCCCAGTGATGTGAGTGCAGACAACCAGCATATAAGAAATCATTTACTCTGCTCTTGATTCAACCTTGATGAAATGTCTACCTGCCAGAAGCTGGCCTCAACTCTAACAGCCTGACAGAACCTCACAGATCAGTTACTATTAACCATAATGTATGAAAAAGGGAAGAGGTATAAGAGAAGTAAACAAGGGAAAGACATATACAAAGTTAAAAAAAAAAAAGTAATTCCTCAAGTGGAAGAGAAAGAAAACAAAAGGGCACTACTCTTACTCTGATTCTGAAGACCCCATAAACATAAAGTCACAGCTAGAAGGTTTCTAGAGGACAGGAACTATTATAGTTATTATTCTCCTTAGCACAATACCTGGCACACACTGCGACACCATTTAGATGAATCCTTCATTGCAGCAACAAATAAACTGGGCCTGCAGAAGGAGGGTGCCCTACCCAAGGCTCTCCAAGATTTGGAGAATTTAAAGAATGTGGTATCTAGAAAAAAGCCCAGGCTTGGAGCTTTGGTTGAGATTATTAACCTTTCTGAGTTTCTGACACTTAGGTAAAGTTAACATCTCACCTGTGAGGATCAGACAACCTATGCAGTATGTTTCAATCAGTGCTAAGCACACAGTTTTTCTACTCTGGCCCTTAACCCTTCCCCATTGGCCCCTTCTCTCTGATGCTCCTTTGGAGATCTTATCCTCCACCTTTGCCTCAAAGAACCACAATTAGCAAGTTGATCACTAGATCTCTCATATACTGCCACTGGCTAAATGAGTGCCCATGGGTTATCACAACAATAATAATATTTACAAATCAACCAACTCTAGTTGAGACCTACTTTATGCCAAGTGCCAGGATAGAGACTTTTGGGAACTTAGTTTTGAGAAAAAATAGATACTTATCCTGAAGGCTCTAGAAGAAAAAGAGAGCTCTTACTCAAAGCTATACAGAAGCACAAACCAAATAACTTGGGATCATGAAGAGGGTGACCCCAGGCTGTAGGAGTAGAGGATGTGGTGTATACACTGAAGTCACAGATTCCAATAGCAAGAACTGGGATTGAGGATAGTGAATGAATCCCTAGCAGAGGAAAATACATGAAAAATGGTGAAAAGGCTGGAAGATGGGAGAAAGGGCAAAAAGAGAGGGTTTTGGAGGTGAAGGGGTCTGACTTCTATCCTGGCTCTGACTAGCTGTGTGACCTTTCACAGTGTTTTCATCATTAAATAGAAATTTCCACCTAGCAGCTGCTTTTGAGAAGAGTCTACAAGAACCTGACTACCACCTGATAATCCATCAATAAATGTTCTTTTTCTCTACTGAAAAATGTGAGCATCTCAGCTTGATGAGAGAACAGATTCCTCTCTGTGCATCACCATCTCCTGGACAGCTTTTTTAAATAGTTTCCTTCTGTGAAGTGTCTGTTCAGTTCCTTTGCCCATTTATTGGTTCGGTTATTTGTGGGGTTGTTTGTTTATTTTGGTGTTAAGTTTTTTAGTTCTTTATCCCTGAAACTAATGCTCTCTGTGAGGAGCAGGTGGCAAAGATTTTCTCCTATTGTGTAGGCTCTTCACACTTTTGTTTGTTCCTCTGCTGTGAAGCAGCTTTTAGTTTGATGCCATCCCATTTATTGCCCATTTATTGATTCTTGATTTTACTTCTTGCACCTTAGGAGTCTTATTAAGGAAATCAGTTCCTGAAATGATAGGTTAGAGTGTTGGGCCTTCATTTTCTTCTTGTATGTACAGGTTTCTGGTCTAATACCTAGGTCCTTGATCCACTTTGAGCAGAGTTTTGTGCAGGGTGAAAACAGGAGCTAAATTTCATTCTACTGCAACAGACACTTCACAGAAGAAGAAATATAATTAGTCAACAAATATATGAAAACTACATTGAGATTCTTTCTTGCTTCAGTCAGAATGGCAATCATCAAGAATACAAGTAACAATAAATGTTGGTGAGATGTGCGGGAAAAGGTACATCATACATTGTTGGTGGGACTGCAAATTGGTGCAGTCACTCTGGAAAGCAGTATGTAGATTCCTCAGAAAACTTGGAATGGAACCACCATTTGACCCAGCTATCCCACTCCTTGGGAGTATATCCAAAACATTTAAAAATCAGCATTCTACAGTGACAGGACCATATCAATGTTTATAGAAGCTCAATTCATAATAGCTAAACTATGAAACCAATAAGTTCCCTTCAATAAGTGATTGGATAAAGAAAATGTTATTCACATACACAAACACACACACACACACACACACACACACACACACACACACACTGGAGTATTACTTAGCCATAAAGAATATTGACCTTATTATATTTGTTAGCAAGTAGATGGATCTAGAGACTATCATGCTAACTGAAATAAGCCAATCCCCAAAAAACCAAAGGTTGAATGCTTTCTTTGATATGTGGAAGATAACACAAAATATGGGTGGGTGAGGGGAAGAATAGAAGTGCAGTAGATTAGACAATGGGGAATTGAAAGAAGGAAGGGGGGATAGGAAAAGGAAAGACAGTGGAATGGATCTTACATAATTTTCCCACGTACATATATAAAAACAACACAGTGAATCCCACCATCACACCATCATGTACATCCATAAAGATGGAATCCTAACTTGAATAAAATACATTCCATGATTATATAATTATATAAAAATATATTCTGCTGTCAAATATAACTAAAATAGCTGGGTCAAATGGTAGTTCCACTCCAAGTTTTCTAAGGAATCTACATACTGTTTTCCAGAGTGACTGCACCAAAACAGAATCAATAAATAAATACTGTTTCCTCACCTTCCTTTCACCAGGGGCTGATATCAGGATTAGAGGCAGAATTAGACAACTAACAAGACACAGAACACACACACACACATACATACACACCATGTACACCACATATGTGCACTCCACACATACTATCCATCACACAACAGACCACACATGCACACCACACACACACTCCCTGAGCAAGTCCTCTCTGGTACCCTGAAGGGATAGCTGTCAAGCCCCAGCTCAGTCAGCACCCCAACCTTCCTGGAAGACAATCCAATAGATGGAGACCCACAGTCTCCCTGCCTCAAGCAGAGAACCACTCAGGGCAGGGCTTTCCCTCCAGATCTGAGAAAAGAACAGGCAGGAGAGTGGCTGGGCAGGCAGTAGAGCTGACTCAGGGAGGGATGGCACTTTAATCAGGGAAAGCAGCATTAGCAAAGGCAGTAACATAGCAGGAATAGAAGATTTTCTGATGCAAGTGGTAATGCTAGAAAAGAGATCTGAATGCCAAGACACTGGACTTTTAAAGAGAACAAGTAATCTTGGAAGGTTCTGAGTAGAGGATACTTGAAAGATTAGTCCCACAGAATGGTAAAGAATGAATCAGAAAGAGAAACGCCTGGAATGGGCCATGGCCATGGTAAAGGAGAACAACAAATCCCAAGGAGGTTTTTCTGGAAGAAGCCAAGTGCCTTGTAGAAAATGGGAAATGGAAAGAGCATTAATCCCTGAGGCCTCCAGGACCCTGGGCAACCTTCCCTCCACGTTCCCTTCCCCCTAAATGCTGCTAAGAAAGAGTTCACAGCACCCTCAGCAGTCCCAAGTACCCACCCAGTCACCCATGTCTGATACAACCCCAGCCATCTAATGTCCATCAGTGTCCATCTAATGACCATTCTCCTGGGCCCCAAAGAAATGACCATGCTGTGGTCCTCTGGAGCCACTGAAGATAACAGCCACCCTGGCGCCCAGGCAGCCAATCCCCTTGCTGCTATCTACCCAGATACAACCAATTGTTGATGGGACATCTAGCCAGGGCATGTTCTCATGGCCTTTGCAACGCAACACATCCAGCACTGTGTTGTTGCTCATAAAACAGCCTACAGTGAGCAAAATGAGCAGGGCCACCCAATATACTCCCCAGCCACACACCCAAGAACAAAGAAATCATCCTGCCTATCCCTTTCCCAACTGTGCATCACAGTACAGTTTCAGAGAGGTTCTAAAATTGGGCCTCATGACAGCCCTGCAAGGCAGGCAGGGCATGATAAGTGTGTTTCAGAGATGAAGACACTGGAGATCAGAGCAATGTAAGATCAGAGCTGCATAGGGGGGAAGGCAATGTGGCGGGAAGGTTGCCCAGGGTCCTAGAGGCCTCAGAAATGCTCTTTCCATTTCCCACTTTCACTGGAGATGAGGACACTGAAAATGAGAGCAACGGGAGAGTTTGCCGGGAGTTACTGAATCAGTAAGCACTCATTCAGTCCCACAGCTAAGGATAGAAAGAACCTGAACATCAAACTCCCAATGTAG